ACCGTTTTTATTTATCATAAAATGTTTTCAATTGTATTGGATATAAATATGTAATAAGCCATCGTACTAATAATCGCGTTAATTTTAGTAAATTATAGACAATTCTTCTATAGTTTATCAGCTTGATTTTTGACTTTTCTTTAATATTTTCGGTTTGATTACTATACAAAAATTTTGCATGTGATATTTTTTTATGTGTGTTTGTAATTAAATGTCGGATCCAATAGTAAACATTGAATTTAAAAATAGCCTTTAAAAGAAGAAATCTTTATAAAATATGAGTTGTTCAATCTAAATTGAGTTGGACATTTGAAATAGATAAAGCGATTGTTTCCAGTTATAGAGCGGAGTTTATAGTTTTGTTTTTGGCAGTTTTGACGGTGCTTCTATCTACTTATTTGTTCTATCGACTGCATCTGAGGTGGAACTTTTAACTTCTTAGACGTATATCCAGTAGGGGGCGCCACACCTCGGCATGAGTTATTGTTAGTTGCATTTCTGTTTCTATCAATAGTTTTATAATATTTTATTACAAAATGTTTATAGAAGCTATTTACCTTAGTTATAATAAGTTATTATTTCATTATTGAAACCATTTTGATAGGTATTAAATTGTTTCTTAGTCAATCAAAAATTAGTTTAAAAATTATGCATCCTATATTCTTAGCGAAGATCGATGGACATAATAATTTTACTTGATTAGCAACATTAAATTTAAAGCCTATGTATTTGTTACCCTTTACTTATCTTATTGTGGCAGAATAATTAACTTTCACAATAACAGATGCAATTATTTAACGATAAGAATCATGGTTATTCGGATCTCCTTGAAGTAGATGCGGACAGACACCTGAAAACAATAAACACGAAATTGCCACAATAATCGGCCCTCATGATCACGGCGTGAGACAATGGTGCAGATAATGCGATAGGGGCTTAACCGAATAGCAGCTAACTCGATTATTCGGCCATCCGTGATTGTGTTTCGGCCTATTAATATTTGAATTTCGTTATATTATTGCGGCGGTCGGGCGCCGGCGGTAATCCAATATGCCTCGTTACGATATTAACTTGGTCTTGATTGAAGTGCGCGAGTTATGTTTTAGAGCGCTGTTAACTTTTGTATTAATATGTTAATTTATTAATAATATAAATTACATACGGGCGTTAAATAAATTTTAACAAACTTCTCAGTGTATAACGGGATACCAATAAATTTAATAGAGAGTGTACTAGCTTTTAGCGCTGATTCCGTCCGTATAGAAAAAGCAAATGTAAGTAGCCTATGTTTTCTTTCAGATTCTCGACTACATCTATGCCGAATTTCAGCAGCAGTTTAGGCTACAAACTACAACAAACATCCATCCATGTAATCTTTCCGATTTATAATATTAGTAAGATGTATGTCTTGAGAACGCGTTAACCTCTGATTTTATTCTGTATTTTATTCCTCTATGAATTCTTATAAAAAACCTCTAAGCAGTGCTTTCTTTACTGATTTGTTTTTGTTTTATTTTGTACTTAAAAGTGTTTTATCAAGCAAAAGGTGTCAGTCTCTCAACATCCTTGCAGCGAGATGATGCACGATTAAAGAGACAATAGTGACGGAAGGCAGTACGACTGTTGGCGCGAGGGTGCGAGGAAGGCATCGCGCCCATCGCTAGATTAAAGAACAACTTAAAGGAAAGCAATCTGCTAAATAAGTACGCCCTGCTTAAATCGCATGGAAGTATGCTCTACTTTAAAAATAACAGTTGAAGCAAATTATTTTCAATTGAAAGAAATTGCTTGTTTCTTAATTATATAGTAATTTGGTAGAATAATATAGTAAAAATTAAGATATCAAAGCTAAATCACACAATCTACTTAATTTCAAATCTTTTTGTAGGTAGTTTTAAAACACTAAAAGAAAAGCTATATCAAAAACTATACTATCATTTGTACAAATAACAATAACAAATCGTAGAACTTTCCCCAATATCACGATAGCGGACAGCAAAAATAACGTGGAGCATCTAAAAGTGGACGTAGTTGCTTGAATTATTTAGCTCGTCTCGTTACTTTAGCCGGTGTTTCCGCAGGTGTGGCAATCATATTGTCTCACCCACACGACAGGGGAGGGGATATGGGGAAGGGGGGAGTTCTGATCTCCCCAGTCGCGTTTATTCTTTAATCTCGCTGATGAATTATGATTAGCAAGAGTGCACTCAATCCTATTAGTGTTGTCTGTTACAAAAATGCCTCGTAGATTTGTTGTTCGCAATACACGCTACTCAATAGCATCCTCCTTTTGTCACAAAGAGAGGGGAGCCGCGATTTGGTAAAGCAACTAGTTACTTAGCCTTGTACCATGTCATCTTGATACTGAAATGGAGAGATATTTAGAAACAGATATTTTTAGATATTATCCTCTTATGTTCTAAAACAAACAAGTTGATACTTGTGTACAAGTCATCTTGTCGAGAGTAAGTTGTAAATTGAAAGTTTAGAATACTTTTTTATTATGCATTGGGTATATTGATGTTATTTTAGGTGTTTGTTGTTAACAAAGACAGTTAACTTAGAAAGAGTAAAATTCAACTAAGTAATAGAAATAACTTAGACTTTCAATTAACTTTGTTGTCCAAGTTGAATGAATATTCGTTATGTTCTTACTAAATAGATACTTCAATTGCCGACGGAAGTGCATCCAGAATTCATAAAAACGCATTAAAAATTCTCCGAAAGCGAAACAAAAAGCTGTAGCTCACAGCAGTGGCGAGGCAGCGCGTAATAGGTCGCCGTGGGACCACAAACTCCGATTATCCAAACAGAGAGCTCCCGAAACAGCGCAGTGAAATTTTAACGTGTAATTGATTATGAAGTTGGCCACTAATGGGCGAAAATAGTTTCTAATTTGGAGTGCGGCGGCGGGTAATTGGTCTCGCTCGGCTCCCGTGTTAATCATTCACGTGGCGTGGACGCAGACCCACACGGTCCCCGCGGCCCGACGCCGAAACCGTCCTTCAATTTAGCCTGCATAATACCCGAGCTCCCAGCGCACGCTTCTGCATCCTAAGCCCTAGAACTTTCGAACGTGTTTCTGATTTGCTACTGTTTATCTAGGTTCATGCGAATTTACCTGTGCATTTGTAGCTACTTAATAAAAGCGAATACTGAGGTTATTCAACAACATTTATATTCTGAAAGAAAATGTATAAATAATGTTGTAAGTATAATTTCCTTCTAAATATACGAATCGATATAATGTAAAAGGGGGACGTAATAAAAAAATAAATAAAACCTAGACAACCGTAACCGAGCGCCGCCAGTTGACAGCCGGCGACACCGATGTGAAAACACTTTCCTATAGTTTTATTCTCCGTCAGATTGACGTTCGTTAAATCCTGATTCGTGCGTATTGACATT